CCACTAGATCAGGTTGCTCAGAGCGCCTCAGAGCCCCATCCACCCTGGCCTTGAACACTTCCAGGGATGGATCCACAACCTCCCTGGGCAACCTGTGCCAGTGCCTCACCACCCTCAGGGTAAAGAACTTCTTCCTTACATCTAGTCTTTCGGCTTCCACCCATTACCCCTCATCCTATCACTACAGGTCCTTGTAAAAAGTCCCTTCCACCCTTCTTGTGGAAGGGACTCTCAGGTTCTGGAAGGCTGCTATAAGGTCTCCCCAGAGCCTTCTCTTTTCCAGGCTGAACAAGCCCAACTCTCTCAGCCTGTCCTCACAGGAGAGGTGCTCCAGCCCTCTGAGGATCTTGGTCGCCCTCCTCTGGACTCACTCCAACAGCTCCATCTCTTTCTTGTGTTGGGGGCTCCAGAGCTGGAGGCAGCACTGCAGGTGGGGTCTCACAAGGGCAGAACAGAGAGGCAGAATCACCTCCTTCAACCTGCTGGTCACACAGCTCTTGATGCATCCTAGGTTGTCTTTCTGGGCCACAAGAACACACTGTTGGCTCATGTTGATCTTATCATCCACCAACACACCCAAAACCTTCTCCCCAGGACTGCTCTTGATCCACTCATTGCCCAGCCTGTATCTGTGCTTGGGATTACCTCCACCCAGGTGCAGGACCTTACACTTGGCCTTGTGTAAACTTCATGAGGTTGGCCTGGGCCCACCTCTTAAGCCTGTCAAGGTCGCTCTGAATGGCATACCTCCCCTCCAGCATGTCGACCACACCACACAACCTTGTGCTGTCAGCAAACTTCCTGAGGGTGCACTCGATGCCACTGTCCATGTCACCAACAAAGATGTTGAATAGTACTGTTCCCAGTACTGATCCCTGAGGGACATGACTTGTCTCCACGTGGACATTGAGCCATTGACTGAAACTCTTTGAGTGCGATCTTCCAGCCAGTTCCCTATCCACCGAGTAATCCATCCATCAAATCCATGTCTTTTCAACTTGGAGATCAGGATGTTGTGTGGGACAGCGTTGAAGGCCTTGCACAAGTTCAGGCAGATGACAAAGAGAAGGATATGAACATATTTCCAGAATGACTGAAGCCAAATCTAAACTACCAGGTAACATTTATGTTTATGTTTCAGTGTTTGGACATCTTTTCTACAAAAGGAAGTCCCTTTTTTCTCAGTCCTTTTCTTCCAGTTTCATTTTAATATTTATTCATATCCTTTGTTGTAGTTTTAATTTCTTGGTCCATCCCTAGTGTCTCTTTTACTTTTCTCCTCTGCCAAAGTGAATCTTTTGTTTCACATCCATATTTCCACTCTCTTCTCCTTGGAACTGTGTTTTTCTTTTCTTGCTTCCTCACTTGGTCACACCTCTCTTCTCCTCCAGTCTTTCTACCATTCTCCCTCTTCTTCCCCTGCCTTCTTGAGAATTATCTTTCTTCCCCATCCCATCCTCACTCTCCTCACTCAGCTCTCCCAGCAGCATGCTTTCGAGAAAAGTTGGTGCCAAATTATAACGACCACAGCCCATTGTGCAGAAGGTGATTCCACACTGATGGCCAGACTTTGCTGTGCCACCACCTCCTGCTTCAGCTACAGCTTCTGCCAAGCACCCTGTGTACCTCTTTGCATCCCTGCCATCTCCTGCCTTTCCTCTTCTGCCAAACTGAAATAGTTGCAGCAGCAAAACGGTCTCTGCTTCTCCAGTGCACGTGTCCTGGGGGGCTGAGGCATTGACCACTGGAACGCTGCCTTAAAATAATCAATACCGCTGGGTGACATGCCAACCTTGCACTGGCCAACCAGGGATAACTTGGGGTATTTCCTCATCCTCCAGAGAGAAACAACTATTTGTTTAATAGAGGCCATTGCCTGAAAACCTCTCTGTGCCTCCCTCAGACCGCCACACTGCAGGGCAGAGGAGCTGGAGAGCCTGAAGCTGGCTGTGGGGAACTCTGGAGCCTGGAGGCCATCTTAGACTGGTGTAGAAGGTGAGCAAAGGTATTTACATGCTTCCCTCAGCATTAAAAAGCAAAACTTTCTAAAACCCTAGTTAAAAATTAAAAGCTTGCTCTGGCCACCTTGCTTAAAGAAGCTATAGAAAGCCCTTTTGTTTGTTGAATTAATAAAGTGTTTTAAGTGCTGCTGGCAAGCCAGAGTGTTTTCCTAAGCTATAATAACATGGTGAGATCCTCTGATGTACACCGGTAGCAAAGCGGCATGGATTTTGGTGGTAAAGGCTCTCACTAGGTCTAGTGATTGATGTTTAGGTAAGCTCTTCTTACAGTTTGAAGTGGTATTGAGATAGGTCAGAGAAAATGGGCTGTAAGCCCCTGTTCTTTCAGCCAAAGATGAAAGAACAGGTCTTGTTGCTTCTCACCAGGTGAGAACTGGGCCCTCCGGCTATGTACGAAAGATGCAGAAGAGAGTTTATAACTCGCCTACAAGACTTAGCTTTTGTAGAAGGAGGCCAGGCTGTGCCTGTGCTTGTTTGCTTCTTTCTTGGAAGGAGAAGTAGGTGAGGTTCAGTAAATACATGGAAAAGCAAAAGCTGGACTTGGATGGGAAAGCAGACAGGCAAAAGTCAGTGAAAAAAAATAGCAAATGCATTGGGTATTTGAGAGAATGATGGATGAAGTAGCCAATACTCTTTCCGTTTCCCTCCACTCCCTACCCGCTTTATTTGTATATTATCAGTCTGTTTAGATTTTTATCTCTCTGAGCTGGGGATTTTTTCCAGAGGCTCGCAAAATGCCTTGTCCAGTTTTGAGCACTATATAAACGATAGCTAATGACCACAAACCAAGATGCATCTCTGTTAAAAATGCTTCCTTCTGGAATAGTTTAATGCCAGTTAACATTTTCTAAAGCTGAATTAAAAAGCATAAAGTAGTTGTAAAGTGCTCAGAAGAAATGGCATATAAGCACAGTGCTCTTATTAAACTCGCAGCAGCTGACAACAATGCAAATTTTTTGCTATAGAAATGTGAACTCAGAATAAGTCTCTGGCAAGTCTCAGCTACCTCACAGCCATATACTGCATCCCATAAAGTCTTAGGTTTTTCCTCTCAGTTACAGAGGTCTGAGGACACTAGTGTGTCTTCATGCCTCACCTCACTTCTTTGCTGTCTTCATTCTGCCAGTAGCTGATTTCAGCCTGTTTCTGGCTTTCTCAGAAATCTTCATCCTGTCTTTCACCTGGACTTTTTTGCTTGGGAAACCAACCTTCATTTCTTTCTGTACTCCTAGCCTGCTTAATACCTTCTCAACACCAACTCTGTCACAAAACTTTCAGGATTAACCAACGCACATGACTAAACTGAGGGACATTTCATTGTCTCGGTTATTACAAAAGCTATTTACATGTAGCCATCGTAGACGTGCACGCGTGCATGGCTGCGTGCATGCGTGTGTAACACAGGTGTGTGTCTGGATCATCGGCCTTCTCTTATGTGTTGTAACTTGCTTACGGGAGAGTAAAGCCGTCTTTGTCATAAACTGCCAGCATTCTCTGATAAATGAACTGATATTTTGTATTTTTGTATTTTCATGCATTTGAAAGCCTTAAACCGGGGTGAAGCTACGATAAAACATGAAAAGGCTGTGATCAGTTTGTGCCATAAAGTTAATGGCAGAATGAAAGTTCAGTAATCTCTGACCCAGCAGTCTGAAATTTCCAGTCTGACATGGGGAAATATCTGTAGATTCACTTCTGTACCGATCATCCTTGCCTCTTTTGCTATAGCTCACAGTGTGGGTGAACTATGAGCTGAGGTTGTTCGCTTTGGTGAAGAGGGATCTACCAGCAGCCTGCCACGAACTTGAAAGGGAATGACAGAGATGACAGAGTGGTGGGAAAGGCAAGTTGGGCATGAGGAAAGACTTTTTCACTGAGACAATGAGGCAACCTTGCAACACGTCACCCAGAGAGGTGGTGGTACCTCCATCCTTGGGGGTTTTCATAGTTCAGCTACACAAAGCCATGGCTGACACAGCGACCTAGTGTTAGTGCTAGTCTTGCTTTCATGAGAAGATCAGACTGGAGACCTGCAGAGATACCTTTCAACTAGTGCTTCATTTATGTTGATTCTTTGATTCTAAAAGCAAATTCTTTGATTTTAAAAGAAGAACCTGACCACCATGAAATATTAGGCTGCTATACTACATGTTATAGCAGATTTCTGAAAATTAGGTGGGATGGCTTGGTGAGGTGGGATGGCTTTATGACCTCCCCTTAGCAAATAGCCACAGGATTAGACATACTTCCAGCTTTTTGGATTTTTTATTGTGGGTGTCAAACAGCCCTGTAACCCACAGTCTTATCTACCTTTGTCTGCAGAGTAAGCATGTCATGGGAACCGGTAATGAAAGTTTCTCCAGTTCTTGCTGACGGTATATTTTTCACTGAAGTAGAGAAAATGCCATGGTGAGTCTCCCTCATCTGCCCCAGCACCGAGGCAGGGCTGAACATTCCTGTGGCACTCCTGGCAGTCGTTTCCTGCTCTTCAAGACCTTTAGCGCAGGAGGTTTCAGATCAGCTTCCCAAGGCAGTGGTCCCAGACAACTCCAAGCCTCCACCTCCCCTTCCACCCAAGGCCTTAGACCCACCGTGAGGTCTGTCACACAGGGTATCAGTTTTTGCAGCCGTGGTTTTGTTACTGATGTTCCCGATGGACAGACAGTTGTCCATTTCTGCATCTGTGGTTCTGTGATTTACAACTACAATTAAACTCTCCTTTCATTTCATACCAACATATGTTTAGTTCTGGCAATCTAAAAAAAAAAAATTCAATTAAATATTCCGGGGTTTAATAATTCCATTTTAAATAAAGTCTCTGAAGGGAATAGGCTCTGTAGAACAGGATTGTCTATGTAAATCTTAACTGGAATATCTCTTGCTTCAAAACTGATTATTCTTTCATTAAAGAAGAAAACTGCTGAAATCCCATGCTCGCTGCGCTGTAGTAACCCAAACTTCCCTGCATCTTTTTTTACGATGTGCACAGGGAAGTGTTCAAAGTGCATTGGCATCACCCTGCTCCCACTGGCAGCATGTGCCATAGTCTCCAACATCCTCCTGTACTTCCCCAATGGACAAGTTCTGCAGCTCAGTGAGATAACCGATCTTGTCTGGTTTTTCCATGGCATTCTGGGAGCTGGAATACTGGTAAGAGAGAGTCATTTTTACTGCTTCTTGTTTGGTTTTGTTTTAAATTCAAGGCTAAGAAAACCTCTGTTAACAAAAAGAGTCATGGAAATGTGTTTTGCATAAATGTGAGCAGTTTGATCGGGAAATTGGGTATGGGACTGAGAAAAGTGCATTCAAGACTGAAAAGGTCCCCAATCACAGGAATACAAGGTATTTCTGAAATAAATATCAGGACTCCAAGACAGAAGGAAGCAGTAAGACTGACTTCTCACTCCAAAGAAGGGTGACAAGGGTGTTCATCCTCCATGAGTAAAAGCAAAGCTGAGGTCCTAAGCTCAGCTGGATGTGGTGAGTTTTCACTATTATCTGCAACCCCTCATTACTCCTCTTAACTGATTTTATGCTCACACAATCCCCAAAAAATCCCCAAAACGTTAAGGTTAAAAATGAAACATGTTTCATTAAGTGTTTATTAGAGACTCAGCCAACACTCAATGAATCTCGAGCTGCAAATGGCTTAAATCTCAAATGCTCTCTGTGTTCCCACACACCCACCTCCCTCCTTTGGGGTTTGACCTGGTTTGTGTGTGTTCTCCTACAAGCTTTCTATTCCACCACTCAGAAAAGATCACTTCATGTGAATATCCATAACTAGAAGGGAATGTGTTTGGGAATACTGATCCTTCCAGTTCATTAGAAAGCCTGCTCCCTTTATGAACTTCCAGTTATCTACCCAAGTGCAGATAAAAAGCCGAGCAAGTAACATGCATATGACAAGTACTGGCTGTTACACAACCTAGGGAGACGGTAAACTGTCAACAGAGCTGGCTACCTGTGAATCCAAAAAATTAATGTTTAAGGGTAACTAACTCAGAAAAACCAAATCTCATTCATATTCAGGCCATGATACAGCTACCACTTGAGCCTATGAAAAATACACGATGGATGTGGTTCAGACTCATATTTCCCAAAGGAGAAATATTATATAAGATTATTAATAAATTGTTCTCCACCAGTAGCTTGCGAGCTTCTTCTTCCAGCTACTACTTGGGCCTATTACTCATGCTGAGTTTGAACATAAGTATGACTTTGTAGAAGGGAGCCTAAAGGAAGAAGTGGAACTACATGAGACACCTGTGGAAAATTCGTATCACTGCAAGCCCAGGAGTCATTGGCGTTCAATGAAAGGAAAGGCAGATGTTAGGCATGAGAGCGTCACAGTCTCATTGAAAACATGCCTTCTTTTGAGGCTTCCACACAGACTTGCCTGTGGCCAGCACTGCATACATCAAATATGAGAACAGCAAGTGAGAGGGGAGGAAAAAATTGCATTGACCTTCAAAATGCAGCATTAGGATTAATTATTGATCCACAAACAATGCTGTTGAGCATACATATTTTCCAGAAAACAGCATGACAAATGGTGGGCACGGGTGAAGAGGAGAAAGAAGGCATTGTCATCAGCTCCATTTTCCAGGTGCTGGAAGCATAGAAAAATTAAGAGTGGCTTCTGGGCCTCGTAGGGATCTAAGCAAGGGGCGGAATGCACCATGACAGAAACCTGGTCTGTGTCCTGACTCCACTGACAGTGAGCACAGGACAGGCTGCTCTCCGTTCCCCCCTGCACCCAGCTTCCCCAAAAAGGAAATTCAGGGAAGTGATGCCAAGAGGATGCCCAATATTGGAGAATCTCCCCATAACCAGGACACAGCGTCCAGAACCAGGACAGGGTGGGAAAACTTCATAACAATCTGGTCTGGCTCTATGAGCCAGAAAACTTGCCTCCAGCTGGGAACTTCATCTGTAGACTGATACCTAGATCATCAGCCTGCTCTTTGGCTGAGCAGCCAGCCCCAGCCTTTCCTCCTCTGCTGCTTCTGTAATAGAACTTTATGTGATGTGAAAACCTTATTTCAAAAGTTTAGGGACTAAAGAGAGGAAGGTTGGCTCCATGTGTCATAGCAATGTCTTTCCTGACGGAAAGCCTCTGTGCAACACCAGGTGATGCCTGACCAAGCCGTGGCCCACACACAGCCCTCATTTTAATGACAACAGCCAAATCTAGCAAATCCTCATTCCCATATCAAAAGGCAGGTGTTTATAACTTAGCACTGAAAAAAAAACAAAAGAAAAAAAAATTAAAGGAAGTTGCCAGGCAAAACCTTCATCTCAAGCCAGGCTAATAAATAACACAAAGGTGTTCACAGTTTAGATGGGAAACCTCCAAAGAAGAAAGACAGCCCTGGAGGAAAGGGAGTGTTGGTTTGATGGGCAGAGGTGTTAACTCTTGTCCTGAGTACGAGACAGTGGCACACGAGGGTTGAGGTTGCCCTGGGGACCACTTGTAATTATTTAACAGCTGACCTCTTTCTAGGAAGAGGAACGTCTTTTTAATCTTAATGCTTTACATCTGCAGGCCTCCAGCTGTGGTCCAGCAACTGCTGCAGATACTGGAGGCTGCTCTGAGGTGTGCTTAAAAGGCAACGGAGGGCAAATCCTTTGAAAGACATTTCGGGCCTCGCAAATCTAAGCAACTTTTATGACACAGTCTGATAGATATTCACACTAGACGCATAAAGTCCCCACGTTTCATTCACCACGGACATTCTGCTCTTCCTGCCCTACATGGGAGCCAATATCTCTCCAACATCTAGCCAGGCTGTTTTTACAGCTTTTACCTTTTGCATTTGTTTGTTTGACTGGAGGATTCTCCTTCTTTCACAAACTTTATAGGCACCATTTCCTACCTTCTTAAATAGACATTTTCTTGTGTTGCTCTTTGAGGTGCCCACACAAGAAGTCGTGGGCAGAGGCAAGGCAGCAGGAGTGCCATGGCTGCACGGCTGGACCCACGAGAGATTTCTTGCCCTCTATCTACCAAACTAAATGCAGCTTTTCCTATCTCCCCAGTGCATCTGTTAAGGTGGCATTATACCCTGAGACACAGGTGGTCACTGACTTCATTGTATCAGTCCAGCTTCACCTGATAATTACCGTGGAGAAAGCTGATGTAAACTGGGAGTTCCCTGTTGAGTGAAGTCCATTTCGTAGGTTTTCCAGAAGCTTAGCACAAAGAACCAAAGTCAGATGTGTTTCAGGAAGTTTAAGACTGATTTCCCAATTATAATTGGAAGCAAGATGCCCAGAAGATTAAGACTGACGTAATTGTTACGCCAGTGATGCATTTTTTTCCTAAGCAGAAATTCTATTTCCTTAAAATTAATATATTTGTTCCTGGAAAAAAAACCCACAACAACAACAACACCCTGCTGAAAAGAAACAGGATAGCTTCAGCAATGAGAATTACTGTACCAGAAATTTGCCAGCCAGCTCTCTCTGTAATCCTATGCCTCTTTCTTAGTTACTCTTCAGCAAGCAACAATATCTAAGCAGGTGTAACTCACAGATCTAAGCAGGTGTAATTCACAGAGAAGAGGCAGAAGGTGGTTTGCACTTCATGAACGTGATGCCCTGGCTCCTAGACTTTAAAAACCATCCTACCAGAAGTACTGCACACTAACTCAGCTTGTGCTTTCCTTACAGGTTATTTTGCCGGCATTCATGATGATGGGAGCAGGCGGAGCAGGATGTTGCGCTAACAGATGTGGGGTAAGTGGATATTTATGTGTTGAAATGGCACCTTGGGGTTTGTGCAATGGCTCTTAAATGGCTGCTCAGCAGGTGGAAATGCACAGTGACAAACCATCACACCACCATCAACAGCCATGTCAGGCAAATGCAGGAGAGCATCTTGATCAACAGCGTCCCTGGGTCAGGGCTGCGAGCTCAGTTAGCCAACGAGAACATTATGATATTGCAGATTTTGACATGAAGAAAATCATGTCAGGTGCTGGAGCAGATGCTGGAGCTATTCGGCACAATACTGAGGCAGAGAGGTGCAAAGCTACTTCACCTCACATAAAATAAAACATGGCTCCATCTTCCTCCTACTCAAGGCCATCCTACAGATTGAGACAGCTGCCTGCTTCTTCCTGCTTCTTCTGTTCCTACCTGGTCCTGTTTCCTCCTACCCTTCCATGGCAATTTGATTTTCCACAGGTCCATCCCTACTTACCTCTGTTGGGGAAGATAGATCCCCTTCTTTGCAGGCCCATGCCAAAAGCCTGAGCTACTGTGGCTGGCACTAAGGAGCCAGCGCTGCTTCCAGAAGCCAGTCCCTGTGCTTTGACCTGCAGCACGCATTTGGCCAAGTGCTATGGACATGAAAGGTGAAAATGCAATTTGGGTTCTCTGTCATCCATAGAAAGGACAAAGAGGCTTCACTCCTTGATAATTAAGAATATTATAAAGCAACATGTTATATATGCATCTCCATTAATCCTCAAGCCCTGGGCACAGACATCTGTGTGGCTATCATTATTAGCAAGAACAAACTGACTTAGAATTTTTTTTTAGTCTGCATCCTTCCTGGAAGTGGTCTAGAATGAGAGATCTCATACAATAAAGCATGTCTTTTTTATACTCTTCAATTAATATTTAGTTTGATCCATGAGAAGATCTTGACATGAAGACCTTTATATGTTATATTTAGGTTAATTTATTATTCATAATACCAAAATAACATTCTTCATTAAGATGACAGCAAGTATGTCCCAAGGGACACGTCATTACATTGATTTTACCGAACATCACACGCACAGAAAGGGTGCCAAGGATGGCCAGGCAGGCCAGTTGCAGAGCTGGGGTGTGGGCATAGGCACCCTGAACACAGTGCCTGAGCCAGCTGCTTCTCCTGATTGTGGGTGACGTAGAAAGTGATAGTGAAAAACAGCCACACTAGGGGTGTTCCGACGCTCTGCTGAACATGGTAAGTCACGAGGGGAAATCCAGCTGAGCCGGGCTCAGTTCACACATCTCAGGTCTCCCTTCTCCGTCCATCAACCCAGCACTAAATGTTACAGAGCTAAGAGTCGGACTTCCCCAGACTGGGTTCGCTCCCCCAGCCCACCGAGGCAGGGGGTAGCACAGTGCCCTCCAGCAGCCCACATCACAGACCTCCCCCCCCATTCCCCTCCATCACCTTTTCACTGTCTGAGCCATTCTTAGCAGCAGCACGTGGATGCCAGCTATCCTGTCTGCACCTTCCTATCACTGATCGGTTACCTGCAAGCTGTTCCTGCTCTTCCTTATTTCCTGTTATAGAATAATGCAACAGATATTGCTGAGAAAGTAGTTTGATTATGCACTACAGTATTTATATAAAGAGAGCTAGCTGATGGTCAGGTGAGGAAGCCACTCAAACAAAACTAGAGAATATGCTCGGTGAGGACAGAATATATTTGGAAATGCTGTCTTCTGGGGCTGTGGGAATTGCCCACCTCTTTGAGGTGGAAAGGGGTAAAGCTCTACAAGTCGCTAAGCAGAATGTGGCTCATGTAAGATGAGATGGGGACACGAGCAAAAAAGTGAATGGCTATGAATGGCATTAAAAGCCATTTCCCCCCCACAGTTCCCAGGGAAGAGTGATTTCCAAGCACGCAAAAAGAAGTCAATATTGCAGGGAGATCTGAGGGCTGAAGATGCACTTCCTCAGGAGAAGAAACCTCAGGGAAACTTTGCTTTGGGGATAGCAAGAAGTGCACAGGCACCCACAGGAGGGTTGCTCAGATGCTCTGACTGTATGTGCGGTACACCAGAGGTGGGGTATGGTGTGAATCACCAGGCACTAGAGAGCAGAGGAGCCCTGGGACTGGTTCAAACATATCATCATCATGGCTAGGCTTTGCAAACGAAGATATGGGAAGGGCTCTACCCACACTTGCTACAAGCGCGCTGATGGCTAAAAAGGCCGATGTGGGATAGGCAAGTCCTGTTGCAAAAGGCACAGCGGAAAGTCTCCTCAGGCGGTATTGGCAAGGCATGGTTCTTTCTGCCTTGTCTTTTCTCCTCAAGACTAATTCTACGTGCGTTCTCAAAGGAGGCAGCAGCATTATGGATGGTGTGTCTCCACGTCTCCCAGTTGGAGGCCAGAGTGGACCACTGCTGGTAGCCAATATGGCCAAAACTGAGGTATTGTTTCAAAGATATATGATGGCAGCGACTTCCCAAGGTGCCAGAGCTGCTTGCAAGGCAGCAGTATGGGTCCAGTATGGGTGGACCTCATACAGGGTCCTCAGCTCTTGGTGGCTTCTCCATGAACTGCTGCCTACTGGCAGAGAAATAGCCCACACTGCAATCCAAAGCCTCTGCAATCCAAACATTCATTTGTCCAACTTTCTGCTTTGGGGACCTTATATATTAAATTATAATTTATAGTTAATATTCAGCATTGCTTTTCTTAGGAAAGAAAAGGCTAAACAACTAATGCTGGTCAGAATTATTGTTCAATCAGAACATAACAACTTTCCTCAGGCTAAGGACTCTATCCTATTATATTTTGTGCAATCTCTGGTTTAATAGTTTCAAACTTCATCATAACCTTTACACAGTGCTGAATATCAACAATAGTAGTAATAATTACTACATTTCTCATCTTTTTGTACACATTATTGAGCTCCCCAGTTAACAATTATTATGTGCTGCATTGAGTAAGTTTTTTTCATTAATCCATTTTAAATTGTTGCCTGTAAGCATACTGAAATGGCTTCTTGTCCTTGTATTACGGAGTAATGATTTTAGAAAGCAACAGATTTAGAAAGCTGAGTCTTGCAGCTTAGCATGTACACATCTGAAAAACAATATTAACTTCTATGCCTTCCATAAGAGTTACTAGATGAACAAGACTAGCTATAGCAGCTTTCCAGACAAACAAACCCAGACAAGCAAAGATACCTGAATCACCAGACAGGATATTAATTTCAAAAGGAACTACCTCCAGAGAAAGAAAAAGAGAAGAAAGAAATGTACATGAAACCACACCTTGAGTATTGTGTTCAGTTTTGGTCACCTCAGTATAAGAGAGATATCGAGGTGTTGGAGCGAGTGCAGAGGACGGCAACAAAGCTGGTGAAGGGCCTAGAGAACAGACCTTATGAGGAGCGATTGAGGGAGCTGGGTCTGTTCAGTTTGACGAAGAGGAGGCTGAGGGGGGACCTTATCATACTCTACAATTACTTGAAAGGACATTGTAGAGAGGTTGGTGCTGGTCTCTTCTCACAGGTAATTAGGGACAGAACTGGGGAAATGGTTGCAAGTTGCAACAGGGCAAGTTTAGACTGGACATTAGGAAGAAATTCTTCACAGAAAGAGTGGTCAGACACTGGAATAGACTGCCTAGGGAGGTGGTTGAGTCGCCATCCCTGGATGTGTTCAAGTGTCGCTTAGATGTGGTGATATGGTTTAGGGGTGAACTTGTAGTGTAGGGTTAGTGGTTGGACTCGATGATCCCAAGGGTCTTTTCCAACCTGAATTGTTCTATGATTCTACGAAACAAGAATCGAAGCAATAAAGGGCATCACAAGCTGGGACAGGAGGAACTTGGTAGCTTCACCAAAGCAGCTGATGCAAGTGCTCAAATAACCAAGGTCAAAAGTCTTCGTCAGCTCACCAGAGACAATCCAGTTGTGTGAAGGATAAAGCAGGGAAACATTAAAAGGAAATTAGCAAAAAAATGATCAGCTAAACATTTGCAAGAAGTAGAGAACAGGTCAACACCATGGGAAAATAATTCCACCAAATTTAAGCATCTCAGCTTAGACCTCATGTTGCAACTAAAGACACAAATGAGGAAATAAAAAATTAATTTAAAAAATTATAAATTAAGATAATACAGCTAGGGAAAAGTCTGAAAGGTTGAGATGAGGTGATAGTTAATAAAATTGTTGGATTTTCACAGAACATGGGCCAAGATTCCAGAAAACACTCCAGATGAGTAGATAAAAAGGACAAGTGCCAATGTGTGTCTACAAAATGCCCAGAAGAGCAAATTTAACAGCTGCAGCAATTTCAGACTCCCCTTCCAGTGACAAGTAGTTTTTTCTGTATAAGCAAGTGCACAGTAAAGGAAATAGGTGAGATGAAGCCAGCCATAGAGCCAAAAGATTTCAAATGAGAAAATTATGTGTCAAAGAATAGTCATCAAACATAGCAGTGATGACTACTAACACTACTATAAAACTGTAGTAGCACAAGTCCATATTAGTTTTTTTATTGTCTTTGGGATGCTCGTACTGCTATGCTGTGTTAGAACTAATTAAGCATAATTAAGATCCTTCAGTCAAGATGCAGAATGCACAGTTGAAGCAAATGAGAAAATAGGTGGGGAGAAGTGGTTCAGCGTAGGTAGGAGTTTCAGATGGAGTATCAGTCACTCACTTCACCGCAAGGCATGGCTGGTGATCTTATTATGAGAGACAGTGCATCAGCTAAAACCAAAGCACTGCTTTGGTCTGGGACAATATACTAAATTACCTACATTTTGCTGACAATGAAGCTCTCCTAAGAGGCAACTCAGCCAACATGCAGATAAAGACAAAAGGAGTGTCCAGCTTTGCAAAAAAAGACAGAGTTATTAATCAGTTATGATGAAATAAATCTCATGAGAAATCCTGGCAACTTCTAACTCAAAAAGTGCTTTAGAGGCAAAAGGACACACAAAATGAGTCAATTCACACACTGGCAGCATGCAAGGTTGTACAGAAAACAGTAATGTCATCAGCTGGCAAGTTGGAAACTGCATTCAGCAGCTTGAACAAGTCTGGACAGTGAACAGTTTTCAAGACTATGTCACGGATCTACAACGTGGACGGTGAATGTTTCTATTTGACTCTGCAGTGCAGCACTCGGTGGAGCAGCTGGCATTAAGAGAAGGTTTCTACCTTCCTTGTGGGCTATTAGATTTCACTGGTATTTGCTGGCAGCAGGGAAATGCTGCCAGAGGTATTTGGCTTCAAACTGAAGCTGTGGACGGGAGTGTTTCCCGTGTGTTTCCTCAGCCATGCCTCTGCCCTGGCTCCGAGGCAGTCTTGCTGCCTTCGCCCTAGCCCAGGTCTTCCCCTGGCTCTGCCAATCTGCTCCAGAGATTCCCTTTCTTTTCTCCATCTTGGCAGAGTTAGAGATGACCATAGGTAGGGGCTCTTAACAAGACTAGTGGAAAGATACAACACCAGTAGCACCCACGTGAGATCCATATTTCTCTATATAAGCAGCAACCAGATACATTCCATCTATTAATAGAAAACTACCCCAAAACAGAGTAAAGGTAACATTCCAGTGGGAGTCAACAATGTAAAACACAAAGGTACATTACATACAATTTGAAGTACCTCATGTCTGTTGCCACACAGAGCACAACCAGATTTCTCAACGTGAACAGTGGTAACCACGTATCATGCTGTTGCAAAATGAGGAATACCAGCAATAGCAAAGGTTCTTTTGCATTTCTCATCAATTAACAAAAACAACTAATGCATCTTGTGTTGCTTTCATACCTGATTTAGTAGCTGCTTGCCAGTTTCTGTTGGCACAAGAGCTGAGAAACGTGCTATTGGTGAAGAGCTGGAAATGCCAAGGACCATGATATGGACCACATCAAGCCAGTTCTGGCTTTGTATTGGCTTTTTGAAGGAAGACTGCCTTGGTTTGAGTAAAAAAGGTGGTACATATAAGAAGGAGCAGACAGGACAGAAGACCCAAACCTGGCCAACAAACTATTCCATTCCATATACATCATAATCAGTAAAAAATTGAGGGATCATGGGGCATTACATCCTTTTCTTCAATGTCCAGCATCCAAGGAGGACTCCATCTGTTCTTCTGTCCTTGATCCCAGTCCTGAATTCCCAAATCCAGCTCCTTGTATCTGGTTCCCCTTTGTTGCTGGGCCTGGGACTTCCCTGGCGCTGCCTGCTCTGCAGCATCACTGGGGGTTGCTGTCAGGAGCGGGGGATTTGGGCTTGATATTGTTTTTTTATATATTTGTATATATTTCATTATTTCCACTATATTCTTATTAATACTATTATTGTTTCATGAAAGCTGTTTTATTTTTCTTTTCCAATCTGTAATTCTCTCTGGCTTATTCCCTTTCCTTTCCCCTTTGGGAGAGGAGAGGGGTTATTAGAGAGCGTCTGTCACTCATTTATTGGCCAGCCCAGCCCTAACCCTTGACAAAGACCCACTAGATTTTTCATAATTGATGGATCAAATATCAAATTCTGAGTAAATAAAACTCTGAGCTTACCCAGTTTTAAAAGCAAAACAAAAAAACAATCTGAAATCCTTTAACACCTAGGATAGCTGTAACAATCAGAAAAAGTCAATTAACTTTTATATCCACAAATATACTATTATTATGAGTTTCAGCATACAGTAAGACACAGATAAAGGTAATTCCTTCATATTCACTGTAAGCTTTCCATGCTACTCTGGCCTCTGTGCATGTGATATTGGAGGTCTTTTCCCTTCCAGATGCTGCTCTCAGTGGTCCTGTCTCTGCTGGGATTTGCAGGAGGAGCATATTGTGCAGTTATCTCCTCTCTGGGGCTGATTGGGGGCCCTCTGTGCAACACAGGTGATGGAGAATACCTCTACCCTTTCAGGAATGACACTCTGGAGTGAGTATGACTTACAGGATCCTCCAACTTTGCTTTCCCTAATCCCTGCCCCTTTCAGTCTCTTTGTAGCTAGTTTGGATTTTTCCAAAGCAAACTGATGGTCCACCCTGTCTACACCTAAATTCATATTTCTCTAAGCCAGCAGGTTCCAGCTCGTCATCTCTTTGACCAAGGAATGATCTCTGGGAAAACTGCCTGAGTTTCTTCTGTTCTCCTTGTCAGTAGCCCCTTGTCACCCATTTTTACTAATTATAGTAGAATTTGAGGCACACTTAGTGCAATCAAGTTCAGAAAACCTAATTCCAGGAAGCA